CCCCAAAACCCCAAAACCCCAAAACCCCAGAGTCATAATTTATAAACGTATTGAATAAGCATATTTAAAATTGTAAATTAAATGTAAGAAAACAAAATCAATAACTAGACAAACAATTTAAATTTAGAGAATGAGCCCCTCGATCAATAGGAGCCTAATTTTTATCTAAGTTATTATAAGGCATCCATTATTAAAAATAGTATAAAACCAGATAAGCAGGTTTGTTACAGTTCAAACTATTAGAATTCAAAAATATAATTAGAAGGGCGCAATTTGATGTTAATAAATGGAACTAATAATTTTTGCGTGCCTATTCAAAATTCGATTATATAAATAGCAAAGAATGAGAGTAAAATACAGCTCAGCAGAACCATAGAAATTAGATAATCAAACTCAATAGTAAAACTCAAATTCAATAAAAACTCTGAACTCTGTTAAGCTATAAATTATCTTACTAAATATGCAAACTTTGGGTATCCTTATGTTGATTAGGTTTATGAGCTTATTGGGTAGCTGTACAGAAGTAAATATTCCTCAGTTAGGATATATAAGAAAAGAAAAATTGAATTTTCGAATAACTTCTGTTAGAAATAAAAATTATTTGCAATTAAATCCTATGAAATCTAATAAATGACTCAAAACCACCTTGATTGCGTTACGAATGAGGTATAATTTCTAAGGTAATTTAGAGGTTATCCAAATATTTCTCAGTTGTAATAAGTATTCTAGACTGAGACCTAATATAACTTAGTATTTGAATATTAAGAGAATGGTACTCTTTTAAATTTTATTGAGAAAAAAGAAATTCTAAAAGAATCGATAATTAAGAAAATTATGTTCTAGCTGCTAACAGCCTTAAAATCTATACATCACAAGAAAATAATTCATAGAGATTTAAAACTAGAGAATATACTTGTCTTAAAAAATAATGGTTGCCTAGATGATAATATTTAAGTAGAAGTGATTGATTTTGGATTAGCATGTAGTGAGAATAATTTTGAGTTGATATGCTAGAAATCAGGGACTCCTGGTTATGTTGCTCCTGAAATTCTTAATAAACAACCCGCATCATTTAAAAGTGACATTTTTAGTTTAGGTTGTATTTTCTATAACTTGATCACTAAAAGGCTCTTGTTCGGAGGTAGAGATACCAAAGAAATAATACGAAAGAATTAGTTTGAAAATCCATTGATGAAGCTAAAAAATATTTGGAATAAACTAAGTAAAGATGGATTAAACTTGATAACTCGCATGCTGGATCCTAATCCTATAATGAGACTAGATGCCGAATAATGCTTATAGGTACATTACTATATTATCCTTAACTATTATATAGCATCCATGGTTTTTGACTTAAAAGAATAATAAATATTTTACTTTCGAAAAAGTAGAAACAAATAACTATCATAACTGTCGTAATTACTCAAATTAGGGAAGTTATCAAGGATCACTGAATAATTTATCAAATTCACACTCCTTTATCAGGAGCAATATTATTCCCGTATAGTAAAATAGACTGTAATTTGAAGGAAAGCTTAAAGTGCAGCGAGATTTAACAGATTTAGGTATACAAAGAGGCCAGCTTCATACAACTCTATATAATTAAGTTTCCTAATAGCAAAATAAACTTAAGGAATAATAAAAAAATAGTTTTACCTAGTCTATAAATATTTCAACAATGAAGAGCAAGCTTCTAGCAAATTTGAATAATAAGCAGGAAATAAAAGAGCAACTTGAATCAATATTAACTTAAGAATTTTAGCAATTTGATATTGTAGCTTAAGATGACTCATCCATTAATATTTATCCATTAGAAAATTCTCTAATCACATTGAAAAGAGAGGGAAGACCCAATTTTAGTCAAGTTAAAGGAAATGTAAAGAAAGCTTTTGTAAATTGAAATTTTAATGAATCATTTAAATAAATCAAGTGTAGAGATCTTTTTTCTAACTCTGAGTATAGATTAAATAATATTTGATTTATTGAAAACTATCATTAATAATGATAAAAATATTTGTTTAGATGTTTTGGATTATAGTTTAGACAATTTATTTAGGAAAAAAATTATTCACAGATATCTTATTTTCTTTTTATTTTTGAATTATGGGGTTTTGGGGTTTTGGGG